CCCCCCCCCCCCCCTGGATCCGCCACTGTACAGTAAACTCCTAAGATAAATCTGGGAAATACTTCCCTCATCATCGTGAGGAATTTCTAAGACAGAAGACAGTTTTATAAAAATTATATAGTGTTATCAGAAACAGCTGATAAGCTAAGGCCTTAAATGCCCAAAACGTGTCTCATAAGGTAACCCAACATATTTGAAAGGCCTACTTTCGATATTCTGGTTGAGTGGTCAGGCACAAAACATTTCAATAGAATAACTAAGACAACATTGTTTTCCCAAAACCTCGACTCGATTTATTTTGTGCATGACTAGCCTGTGTTGACCCATCAACCAGAATATCGCCAGAAGCATTTGGTTATATTAGAATGACAACAATGATCAGACGATCCGAGCTTTAGTTCATAAAAGATTAAGGAGGAAGAAAACCCAAGGGGGGGGGGGGTACTCTTGCCCGTTTAGGGTAGGGATGTGCCGCTGAGCCCTCTGAACCCTGACCCTGTTCCAGAGTAGAATGGCTGAAATTCATACCCTGTTCCAGAGCAAGATCACTGGAAATCCTGTTCCAGAGAGGAGAGAGCGTGATTGCATATACCCTGTTCCAGAGCGAGCGCGATTTTATATACCTTGTTCCAGAGTAGAATCGCTGAAAACCATACCCTGTTTGGCGGCACGTACCCGTATAGCGAATATAAGGGAGTACCCCCCCCCCCCCACCGGGGGAAGAAAAATCAAACACGCTATATCCCAATACAATATTTGAGTTAACCGCAAAAGTGCCGTGACTTTGATCAGTCATGCTATGAGGTTCTTTTAGGGAATCAATTCGAGCGCCGCCATCTTGAAAAAAAGSGAGAAGAGAAGGCCCTGGGAACGAGGTTGACTTTCCTCAAACCGCAATATTTTACTCAAACGACTCATTAACGATTTTTTTTTTATTTCAGAAAAGATACGGATTGCATGGATGTTTTCTCGTATACGGAATTGAAGAACTTGTACGACAGTAAAGTGAAATTGTTGCGGAACCACAGGTAACCCAAACTAGGTTTCTGTGGTGCCATATTATAGGAAAATGTATGGGGACCATTAAGAAACCTCAATAAAGAATAATAATAAAAAATATCATTTCACTCATCAGCAACAAATTTTGAAAGTAGGTTTCTGTCCTTGTCCCTGTTCCTAGTTAGAGTTTTGCTCCCTTTTTAAATATTATTTTTTCATTTTTAATTAAACGTTACTTTATTAAAAAGAACTCTGACTTCCTTTATATTGAAAACGCAACATCAAAAGCCCTAAGGTTTTGAAATTTGAATTCAAGATATCAAGTTTGAAAAATGCGATTAAATGAAATCTAATTGTAATTTTCTACTTTCAAATATTGTTTTAAGCCTGACACTAAGCTTTTGAGTAGAGGGTTTTTAGATGAACTAGCAGTCATTCGGTAGATACGATCCTATCCGTCAAGCATCGCCAACTATTCCGGCCATGCGCCGCTCGCCAAGTCAGCGGATATCATGTATAAAATAAAAACCACAGGAAGCCCAAGMTCTCTCAGGCCCGGACTTAGAGAAACAAAACCTTTTGCTACGGTATTCCTGTGCTTTAATAGGATACCTATTACAAACGATGGCAAACGAGAGCTGAGGATTCAAGATTTATTTTGGTACCGTATTTTGCGAATAATTTTCAAGGTTTTTGCTGCACAAAGTGCCTATTCTTGAAGAAGGATCTAACAAATATTCGTCTCAAATCGGAGCTTTTTGAAAGTAAAAAACGAAAAGTATAAATTCGTTCAATCGACCACAGATCGATTCGATATCAGTAATTTAGAATGTGTGTATTTTAAGGATCGACCCCGGCAAATGAGGTAACTAGTTCTGATTTTGAGAAATCCTGTTTATAATATTTGACCTTTTGTATTTTTCTTGCAATTTAACGAAGCACTTATGGCAAGAAGGCTGTTAAAATCTAACTATCGAGACGAAAAGGTTTTTCCAAACAAATTAAAGTATGTTTGGTAAAAATCAAATGCTTTAATGTTATATATTGTTCTTCTACCCCGGCAAGTTGAAAACTGTTTACACAGAAATTTATGAATCGAAAACTATCTTGACTCTCTATACATTTCTTTGTAAAATCTGACTTAACTTGCTTAACACTTTCAAGCGACACCGCTGCATTTGTACGCGAGCGCATGACCGGAATAGTTGGCGATGCAGAAGCGGAGACTTCGTCCTAGGACGATTCTTCTTTAACTTGAGTTCTAACTCGCTTTTTAATTACTCTTTGCTCTTCCTTTGGATTGTATATTCTACTTAAGGTTTTGTTTGTAGTCTCGTGTTGTCATAGACAAATAGCTATTTAATGTTTAGATGAAAGTCATTTTTGTTTTTCATAACCTTGCATGATTGGATTTTCTTAATTAAAAGTAATTAAGGGAATATATAAAGAGGTCACCTGCAGTCGTGCAAAGAAGAAACTGAAGAATAGACATCCCTTCAAGTAACTCTGCGACTTTCACTTACGCGAAAATATTCTTTTTTTGTGTGTGGCAAGTTTGAAGTTGGTAGAATTTCTTCTTCATCTGCAGAGTAATCCAACTATAAAACTTGACTTTACTCTTCTTGATTCGTGAGTGTTGGAGACAAATAAAGTGGATGACATCTCTCTTACTCGAAGTCTACCAAAATACACTCAGGACAAACGGATATATTTTCCATCGATTTTCTTTTCCCAGTTGGTAGTTGGTATAATTCCTTCTGACGAGTACGATTCCCGTTGTCATTTGCCTAGAGACATCTAAATAAAGTCACCAGTATTGCTGATATAAACTGTGCAGTACATATCAATGGATTTCCACGAACCGTGTACGGCCAATACCACGTCATCCTGGAATAGCAACTGGTTTACGGTAGAACCGACATATAAAAAAAACAGCAAAGACATTAGCGTACTGTCTCCTTTTTCTTGTTTCCTTGAGCGGTAACACTCTTATCCTATGGGCAATCTACAGAGACAAACGATTAAGAACCAATACAAATATCATAATAGCCAACATGGCGATCAGTGATCTCCTTTTTCCTTGCTTTGAAATACCTCAAGAAATTGTGACAACAATTTTCGATGGCGAATGGTTTATCGATGATAACTTTGGTCTTGCACTCTGCAAACTTTTGCCCTTCCTTAAGAACGTCTCTTGGACTGTCTCGATCTATAGTTGTATCCTCATCGCCCTTGATCGGTATTACGCTGTTGCTCACCCATTTCTCAAGGGCGGCTTTAGCAAGTCAAGACTCAAGTACATCCTTCCAGGGATCTGGATCTTCGCAGTCATTCTGTGTATTCCTTATTTTTCTAATCATAAACTTTCAACACAATACTATCCTTATTTTGGTAGATTTACCAGTTGCGTGGGAAGTTGGGACTTGTTTGGTATGCCTCTTTCAATCGCCAAAGACTTCCAAATTTACCTTCTTTTTGGTGYATCATTTGGAATACCCTTCCCGGTCACGGTAACCCTGTACCTCCTCATAGTTTGTAAACTCCGTAAACACAAAGCACCAGGTCAGACTTTAGCTGACACAGCTAGAATTAGAAGAGAGAAACAAAACAAGAAAGTATTGAGGATGTCGGTTGCTATTGTAACTCCGTCGCTTGTGAGTTGGATTTTTATTCACTGTTACATGTTCTTATCGTATTACGGGAAGCTTTCACACTTGTCGTCCTTCACTAAGGAAGATGTATTTTTTGGCGCGTATTTTCTTATCCAGATGACATGCTGTTATAATTTTTTCATTTATTTGATCTTCAATGACATGTACAGAGCAAATTTCAAAGCAATTTTAAGCCCATGCTTTTCTGTATTCCATCGAAGAAGCAACGCTGCTTCTGAGCAAATCACAAACAACAGATCAAGTGGAAATGACATAGATATAGTGAAATTTGAACGAAGAGAGCATAGTTGTGAGACATTTGAAATGCATAATCTATCCCTGTCAAACTGATTAAGCCACCTGCTTTATACACCACGAGTACTATTACTACGATAAATATTTATATAATTAATAATTTAGCATAGTATTTTAGATGTTTGCTATATTTTAGATTAATTATTATTATTATTATTATTATTCTTTTGTAGTCTATTCTTAGCTTTTGATCTTGATACTTAACTTTTATTATATAGATATCGATGAAATACCAGGTTTTCTCTAGTGTCGAAAACTTGATATCTTTCACCAGTGGAAGATACCATATCTTTCACACGTGAAGATATCGCTGTTGAATCGGCTTGCTATTTTGATAAAGAATTTTTGAGCTTTTGTTTTATTTCAGTTTCATCGATATCTATATAATAAACAGAACATTACATGGCCGCTTGGAGATACGAATTTTAACTTCTCGTGTTCAATTTAGATATCTCACTCGTTCGCTGCTCTCACTCGTGGGATATCAATTGAACACTCGAAGATAAAATTCGTATCTCCGAGCGCCTATGTAATATCCTCTATTTATTAAACACTTAGATATTTATTGCACGTTCGTATTTTGAACGAGCTCTATCTACGCTCTATACAAATGAGTCTGTGGTCTTTAAGAACAGCGGTATACATCAATAAAAGGTAAAGGCCATTCTCTCCTTTCACATCCCCATAATGCCTTGCGTCTTTGGGGGTGTAACCAGAGAGTAAAAAACTGACCCACTTATTTTGCCAAATCTATTAGAAAATGAATCTGCTTATGCGTTTGTAAAGTGACTCATCAAATATGTTTCATTATGACTCACTATTATATTAAAAAAAATGACTAAACACATTCAAAATGGTTTCAGTAACATGAACCCCATCCGTATAACCTCTGGTATAATATTCTTATTGGAAACTAACTTGAAAGCGACGAATTTAGAAATGGTTGAAGCGGACTGACACTTTGGAAATATTTTCTATTTTCTATTTTCTTTTTCCGTCTTTCTTTTCCTTTCTTCATGTTATCTTATGTCATTCTTCTACATATCAAAAATCATCCATGTTTTTTTAGCATTAACTTAACAGGTAGCATATGCTTAAATTAAGTTCAATCTTATGACATTGTACATGGTCAGCATAAACTGTAACAACGCGCGCAGAAGAAATATATTACGAGTAAAGTTGTTGCGTGAAACAAACCCTTAGCATTAGTTAATTAACTTCAAGCATAATGTCTTACCAATCGATTCCCGACCAAAAATCATTCCCTTGAGAATAATTGCTTTATTTTTCTTGGCAAATGTTTGAGGAAAAAAGAAATGTAAAATCAGAATTTGGATGTATCGTAAGTTAAAAACGATTGGCACAAGACTATTTCCGAGAGGTYAGAAAATGCGAAACTTTACGCCCAAATTCAGAGTATGGATTGTTGTTGACTCATTCAAGGTTTTCATAGAGAAAACAAATAATTTCCCTTAGTATTTTCATAAATATAGTTTAGATTTTCAGACTTATTGTTTTATAGAAAACTATTCTAAATCAATTTGAATATATTATTAAACCACATCTCTATCGATTGAAAACCAGAATGGCCATCAATGGAGGAACTCTGCGGTGATCCAATACGTTTCCGCGTAAATTATTGCGGAAAAAAACAATTTTGATTATTAGATTATTTATATTGTTGTATATTTACTATAACAAATATATTTTTAAATCCGTTTAAGGATAAGACAATAACACATTGTTCGTCATAATGAGATTGGTATTACCACAGGTAACCCAGTATCAGCAACAAAAACTTATTTACTTAAATCATTAAAATTCTAAAATGATAAACAAAATATTCTTGCCTACCAAAAAGGACGTGTCTGTATTTGTACAAAATCATGGACTTGGAATATATTTTTTTCAACGTCTATATAGTAGATTTAGCCAAGACAATTATTAAATGGGCTCCCTGTGGATTTCGTACTAAGTAGTAGCCATTTCCGTTTTGTTTCAAGCTTTTGAAACCAAAAGATGAGCAATCTTATTATATCTAAGTTACAAGGAGAAAATTTCCCTCGTGTTAAAGGTAATTGATATCTGATTTAAAGATGACATCATTGCGGGGGTATTTCCTGGCAATTCATCAAGAACATATACACACTTTGCAAAGCTGCTGTCTATATAAACAACACCAACCGGCGATTACAAGACAATTCAACTGAGAATTAACCAAGAGAAGGAACAAAACCAAAAGACGAGGTCTCTTCTATTTCTATTCTATTTTTACGAACTGAATCTCTACTCATTCTCTACAGTACGCCATGCCGATTCAAGTTTTTGCTACAACTTCTATTCTACAGGCGTTGGCGTGCCTTCTTATTGTTACAGGTACCAAAAAATGTTTTGTTTTTAAGGTGTAAAGTTTTAATTCATTTTGATTTTCGAGGTTATTTGTCTTGTTATAACTCTAGTCACTGCCATTCATAAGCACGTGTGACGGTTTCTATATTCTCTCACCAAGACTGGACTTTATTTCTTGCATCTCACATCACACATCTCTGCAGTGCTACTATCCGAGTCTTTCAATGATGTCTTATTTTCATATAAAGCTAAGACTGGGTTTTCTCGCAAAGAGAATCGCCCTAACAGTCGGATATTTCATTGTTTGGCGATGTACACCAAACTGTGTTTTGTGGGTATTAAAATTACTTACATGACAGAGCTATCGAATTCCACTAGGAAAGCTGGGATTTCCCCCAAGAACTAACACCTAAGACTTGAGTCACATGCAAGACAAAGTCGGATGAAGTATGCTCGAGGTTCAGTTATCAAATACGTAAACATTGATGCTTCCTTAGCCCTAGGTCCTGATTCGCTAATTTGTAGCGCTTCGGGTAGGATTTGCACCCCAAGGAAATACTTTTTAAGATTCAAACCAACTTGGGTGTAAGGCTATATAGTTATAAGACCTTCAGTTTAGTCACGTTCGTTCTGTTTCTTCTGAACGGCGTCTTCAGTCAATTCGTGGATAAACAAAAACATTTCTAGCCAGAAAATAGCCCTCTACCGACTCTGTCAACTCTGCTTTGTTCGAGTCTAGAGATAATTCTATTAAATTCCTCCCCTGGGGTTAACTTCCGGCGGAAGCAAATTAGYTCTAGCCTTCCGTTTTTGTCACCCTTGGCACCCAGCGTTTCGGGATGCCGATAGAGTTTAATAATGCAAAGAAATTGCGTTTGATTAAGTTTTATATCTTGTTTCATGGCAGGTACCGTCGTAGGGGCAAGAAAACCATGTAAAATGACTCAGTCAGGTTGTAATAACAGCGATGTTATTATAAAATGCCCTCACTTTCCTGCAGATCAATCAAATCTTATCTCATTGTATTGGAGAGTCAGGAACAGAACTACTCGTTCTTCTAAGACCATGGCATATATGACGGCAAATGGAAAGATCATATACTACACAAAGAATACGGTACTGGATGGAAGACTCACCGTGTATCCTAATGGATCTCTGGAGGTCAAGTCCTTGGTGCCTGAGGACGCGGAGACGTCGTATGAATACCACGTCCGTACAAAAACCAATCCAATACCACAACGTTGCATCATAAGCCTTCAAGTCAAGTGTAATGGTAAGAAAACTAGAAGTAGACACATTTTGATCGATAAAGAATGAACTTCGAATTCCTCTTTGGACTAGAATAGTTCCGGTAGTTGCCTCATTCGAGCTCAGTCCCCTCTCGTCCCCTATAACAGCTCCGCCTGCTAGTGGTGATAACTCCATGAACCCTCTTCAAAATTTCAAAAGAGTGTCCCTTGTTATGTTATATAGTCTGAAGTTTCAAAAACAACAACAACAACGACAAAAACAAAACATAAACAAAACAAAACAAAACAAAAAACAAAACAAAACAAAGCAAAACAAATCAAATCAAAACAAAGCAAAACAAAACAAAAAAAACACACACACACAAACATTTGAAGCTAGACTGACATACAGCTGCGCGCATCGTCATTCCATTTACCTTAACTCTTTGTTTACAGTACCCTTGATATTAGGTTCAATCTTTGATAAGACTCTTAATCAAGCGGTCTCAAAATGTTATCCTAGTTTGTTTCTCATAAAATTGATTTTTGTCCATTTTCCATTTAAATTTAAACACTGTCGTAGGTGAAGTTTCCAACTTTAGTCAAGATGTCTGTGTAGAAGATGAAGTTGTTCTTGATTGTCCTGCCAAACACAGAACCAACCCGAGGGTATTCAAGGAACTCAGATGGCTCAAGGAGACGTCAGGGATGTTGAAACTAGTGGCAAGTTTGAGCAGTACACGTGTAAGGATCAACGAAGAAGGGGTCCTGCTCCATGGAAACGGCTCGTTAGTGCTGCCACGAGGAAGAGCCATAGGAAAAGACACCTACAAATGTTTTGTGCATAAAATTGGCAAAGGAAGACGAAGGGAAATTCATGAAGTTGGGCTGAATAACTCGAAGTGCCACAAAACTGGAGGTAATGAAAAAAAGGTTATTGTAGTTTAAGTAAATCCTACCAAGCGATTCCTAAACCACGAGCGGAACGAACTGTTTGGTGTAGAAGGGAGACGGATGGGGGCAAATGAGGTTTGAGGGACGGTTATATCGTCTTCACGATGCGAATACTAGTGACAATCACTGTGGAATTGGCGGGAATTTTAGCTAAAACGCGCGTGCTAATCTCTCCACCTCTTGCACCTTCGACGCCTGTGTGTTCATGGTGTTTCATCGTTTTGCAGGTAATGTGAAAACAACCCAGGGGCGTATTACCATGACGACGACAGCAAAAACAATCCAGAGCACTGGTGTTGTCATGAGCAATGCTCCAACACCTAGTGTCTCTACAGAAGCTGTTTCTCCGAGTGTGACCGCCATGGGTAAGCATAAAAAATAAATATAAAAATAATTTTCATCTAGGCCCTTTCTAGATAAATTAGAATCATGACGCGTGGACTTAAATGGGAAAACATTTTTTTCAGTTAAACTAGAAAGGTCTGTTGGTTTAAAAAACAGCAATATGTTATGGCCCGGTTGTACAAAGCCTGGATAGCGCTATCCAACGGACAAATCTTATCCAGTGGATAAATTTATTGGACAACAGCATCGACTGGATAAGAATTTTTTGTCGGATAGCGCTATCCAGGCTTTGTACAACCGGGCTGTTGTGTTGTTGTTTTTTCCCCTTCCATTCTGTGCCCTCCTTTTTTTAATCTACAAAATATACTAACCTTTTATGGTTATTATGGTGTTTTCCCCAGTCTGTGGAGGTGTTCTGAACAATTCTGTCGGTACATTCCAATCACCGAATTTCCCAAGTACATATCCTGCAAACTCTCATTGTGAATGGACCATCAGTCTTCCCCAGGACTACGCTGCCATCAATATTACTCTGAACCAGGTCAACTTGGAAGGAGAAGAAAAATGTCGGTAAGTAGCTAGTAAGTAAGTAAGTAGTAAGTAGCTAATTCACAGATCGAATATGAATAAGGTTTTTCCGGAGGGAAGCCAAACCGGAGAACCCGGAGAAAAACCCTCGAATCAAGGGAGAGACCGCAACAAATTTCACTCACATGTGACTGGATGCCGAGTCCAGGAATCAAACCCGAGACCCCAGAGGTGGAAGGCAAGTGCAAAAAGTACCGTATTCACTCGTTTAGGCACCGCGCCCGATTAAACACCGCCCTCAAATAAGCGCCGCACCCAAGACCAAAATTATTAATAACCGCCGCATTTATCCATACAAAAAAATGGTATTTTTTAAACGTTTGTATTCACTTTGTATAAAATCATTGGTTACGCAGTATGAATTTAGTAAAAATGTAGTAAATGTGCCCTCAAATTAACGCCGCATATGAAACCCAACCCTCGACGCTTATTATACGGTATTTAACCTCTCGATACATTACCTTGTTTATTGAAAGACGGTATGGTTGTTTTCCCGCCATAGACACGACTACATTGCAATCTACGATGAGTTACACAACCAGATCGGCTGCCGCAGTTGTGGGACTCACAACTCACCGCTTGAAGTCCAAGTCAGGGGGAGAATCGCAGTCATTGTGTTCGAGTCTGACAGCTCTGTCAACAAGTCAGGATTCCTAGCGAGATACAAGGGAGCGCTGAATGTCAGCAACCGTAATCTCTAAAATAACAAATTACGAACGATAAGCATTACTGTTTTTGAAGAATATTTGGATCACGAAGACTATTTCTAACAATTCTAATACTTTATATTTAAGAAGTAGAAAGCATTAATAATTTATTAGTATTATATTAGTAACTAGTTTACAGATTTCGAGATAAATGAAGGAACATATAATCAAAAATCGGATCATATTTGCCATGCAAACGTACTAAAGATCAGTGATAAGTATTTATTATTATTAATAGTTATCAATACATTTGTAAGTAACGATAAACGTAACAGTTTTAAAATTTAATAAAATTATAAAAATTAGATTGAATTGTTTTTTGTTTTTGTTTTTGCTGTTCACACCAAAAATGTCATTGTGTGTGTGCCTTGGTTTGAGGGGGGAGGGTACATAGTCTATGACATTCTGCCCCCTCCCCCCTTGGGACAAGAGATACTTCGGACCTTCAGTTTATTTATAAACGCAAACCTGTTATTCAATAACGAAATGAAATAACGTCATACTATAAGCAAAGCCGTCAGTAATCTAAAATTAAGATGGCAAGCGACGAGCCAATCTTTTTACAGTAATTCATCTTTGGAGCAATGTTTTCTGTTCGCATTTCAGGCCACATGCATGTTCTTCCCTATTTCTTTGACGGAGTAAAAATATAATCATTTATTGATTAGTCTCAAACAAAGAATAATATTTTTGAGAAGTTGGAGATTAGCTTAGTTCCAAGTAGAAAATAAAATTTTTGGCGTCCGACATAAAAAATCTAACTTCCGGAAAAAAGGGAAGTCAAAAATTGAAGCAAATATCCGCAACATTTCACCAGGATGATCAATAAGTTCAAATTTCAGGCACGTAAAGAATTATCTTTTCGAGAAGTTGGAGATTAGCTTAGTTCCAAGAAGAAAATAACATTTTTGGCGTTCAGACATAAAAAATCTAACATTAGGAAAAAAAGGAAGTCAAAAATTGTAGCAAATAACCGCAACATTTCACCAGGATGATAGAGAAGTTCAAATTTCAGGCACGCGAATGTGTGGGCTAGCTCAGGAAGAACTAAAGAGACATGATGTTATTGATTAATTATTCAATTAGCCTTAGCCTCCAAACTGACAGAACTGAGGATGTTGCTGTCAGTGCACTGAAGCTATGGTCTGTGCAAATTGAGCAAATCGGAAGTACCGCTGTCGTAGGATTTATCCAAGTTGGTTGTTGGCAGCAGTTATTTTATAGTTCAGGCATGGAATAACATTTCTAGGAAGGCGGGAATGTTCGTGCAAAAATCAAACTACAGCCTTCTCAGTGTTACAGGGGTTCGATGAGTAGGGAAAATTCAATATCAATAACATATTTTTGATTTGATTGTTGTGTCAACACTAAAGGGGTTTTCCTTCAAACAATTTTTCATTTTCATGACAGAACTCAAGTAAGATCAGTATTCATTTTTGTCAGAGCAAAAATAAAAATAAGATTGACTGTATTTCAGTTTTCGATATATATGGTAATTTTTTGATAATTCTGTATATGGCAAAGAATTAATGAGCTATTGCATGTCGCATTGGCATAGATTTCCCCATATTCGGAGCTTTTTTCAGTAAGGGTTTTTTCAGCGAAAGGTTTCTTGCTACGCCTCTAAGATTGTTTTGTTTTCGAGTTGAACAAAATTACCTGACCTACCTATTTCTTTTTTAGCTATAATTCTACGCTTTGCCATAGATGAAATCCATTTTCTTACTAAAAAAAGCTAAAACTAAGTTGTCTCACTAAGCTTATAATTGTTCCAAGCGCACGTGGAATTTCCACGAAAAATAGTCGCTTTTCCAGGTTCTTATCCTGACCTTGAACAGACAGTATGGATTTAAATAAAAAGAAGTGTGTTGTTTCTAAGAATTATAATTTACACCAGAAATACGGCCTTGATTTGTTGTCGCCTACACAAACCGGAAGCCATGCAGTCACCCTTGATAATAATGCCTCTTCGTGATCCAGAAAGCGAAAAATCTAATTTTATCCAACGCGGGCTTTTGTTTTTGCCTGAAACGATGGTGTAACTTCGATAGCGTTACACCCTTTTTATGATAATCTCCCGGGGTTTTCCCTGATTTCTTATGAAGTACAATCCTTATCATAATAAGCTATTTTAAAATTCGTTATTGAGATTCTATATAAGATGAAGATAAGGTTGAAATTCCATCAGTACAAGTTGAGCAAAGCAAAGAGAAAAGGAATACGATCCAAAATATTACTAGACTTCAGTTTACGTTACGTTGAAGAATTTAAGTGACAAGAAAAGTGCTCTTTTTCCAACCAGAGTTCTATATAACGATGTTCACTATGGAAGGTCGTCCAGCTTTGGCTTTACAAGCATCTGCCTGCTTTTTCTTTGTACAAGGTAACGGTTCAAAAATTATGATTGGAAGCTAATATTACTCAGTTTAAACATGCATTACAAAACACTTTGGAGAGGACATCTTTGAATGTGTTGATGAAATCATACTTTTCATGACAGTATTCTTTATACGATGTCTTAATTATCAAAAGGAATAGGCTTTTCGCTACATCTTTTTTCAAAATTTCCCACGTCGACTTTAGAATGCTGCAGTCATATTTTAGTGCTAACCGTATCTCCCGCCGAAATTCGATATTTTGCTATATCAAAAAAAAAAAAAAAATTTAGATACAGTGTCAATTCTTGCAAAACAGGTTAAAACAAATTTTAAAAGAGTATCAGTTGTTTTTAGCCATTAATACAGAGGTGAAACAAAATTTTCAAAACATTTAGTAAAGAATTTTGATGGCCAAACACAAAATATTCCGCAAACTAGCAATAGTTATTTATTCTGTGATATAAACATGGTAGATCTCATATTGTGCGTACTTCATAGAAATGACTGGCATACGACACGTGGGTGCACGAGTTACTTGAATAAATTCGTTTTGTTGACATTCATACCAGCAATAAAACTCCATACTAAAATGTCAATTCAAGCCAATGTTATGATAGCTTGCTCACAATTTCCTTGCAATGGCTCAATACAACTCTTTTATAAATGTCTACATTTTAAAATCAATTTTATAGCATTTTTTCTACGCGTATTTCTCTTGTTTTTATTGAATATTTTGTTTTCTGTCCGTATGTTACGATGTCACGCTGTTTGACCAGACAACAGCTGTCGTGACCTCATTGACTCTAATCCATGGCGTGCTACGTCCGGATTTACCGAGAAAGACAAACAGTTTGAGTTGCAATCTCATTCCTGTTGAGATACTCTTTCTAAGAAATGTAGAACTTTATTACGGCCTCCAAATATGTCTTTGAATACGATGGATAAATACTATGAGAAATACTAATAAATACAATTTGATGGATAAATAATGAAGTCTAACGTCTTGGGAAAAGAAACCCGGGTTCGTGGTGAGAATGTTGAATAAACTGACGTGACTTTTGCCTTTGATTGCTTCCACTCTTTTTTCTTTCCTTTTTGATTCCTTTTCTTTCTTTCTTTCCTTCCTTCCTTCCTTCCTTCCTTCTTTATTTTAATCATTATTTTGTTATTTCGTTCTTTCAGTCTTTCTTTCTTAAGAGTGTGACATCACCAACTTACATTTTCATGTCAACAGACTTATTAAACATACTAATCTATAGTTTTTCTCTTACATCCAGCCGTGGTCATGGCGACTAGCACCATCGACACTGACCACATAACTGGTTGCCACAACAACAACGTCATGTTAAACTGCCCTCTATTCCAGACAGCAAAGAGTGAGTCTTCTGACAAGGTTGAGCTGGAGTGGAAGTATAGAGAGACCCGATGGAAGAAGCTCGCAGCTATTGATGGAGATGGAAACAGAAGTGTCGTCTCCTCGAACCGGACACGGTACCAGAACAGGCTGACTCTCCATCCAAACGGATCAATGATGATCGCGTCTTTGACGCCTGATGATGAACGATCGTACTTGTGTAAGGTGGGAGTCGATGGAAGCTCGAAGCATTACCTGGTCAAGCTGAATGTCACGTGCACCGGTGAGTGCCCCCCTCCCTTCCCCTCACCACATCCCCCTCCCCCCTCACGAAACTCACGTGACAATATAATTTTTAACGGAATTGAGAAATTTTGTGCTATAGTCAATGGCTTCTGAAAACAATATATTCCTAATGCTCGTCTTAATTCCCTCTCCCAATATTGTTTTTCAATGAGATCAACAAATTTTTTACTATGACGGGGGTGGCTTTCGAAACTCTCTCAAAACTTAATCTTACACCTTACAACCTTGCGCCACGTTCCCTTTAAAAGGACATGCAATCCTAGTGCAATAAAAGGATTCATCCTTCACTTGATTCATACTATTATTAACTTGGTTATTTCAATATTTCGAATTATTTCAGGTAAAGTCACTGTGATCAAACGTGAAGTCTGCATAGAAGAAGACGTTGTTCTCAATTGCGACGCAATACGCAGAACAAACCCGAGAAAACTGAAACAAGTCACATGGCACGTGAAGAACACAAGCAGCTCAAACAGTGACACCTCTTGGTCACCAGTCGTGGATTCTGATGGAACGACTGTCAAGAGTGGTGATGGCTTTAGAATGAACGAGAATGGGTCTCTATCCCTGCAAAGCCGTGTGAGAGACGAAGGTCAAGTGATGTACAGATGTGAAGTGTCCAAGAATGTTGACAGTCCACGTGAAATGCACGTGATTGTGCTAAAGAATATCAAGTGTGGTATCTTGAAAAGGAAAAGTGAAAATGGTAAGGAAAAGGACCTTCTGATTTATTATGCTATAGGGCTATATCATGTCTGAATTCGGATTCCATTCTGAATGTGCCTAGGAAAGAAAACGGGGCAGGGGGTCAATGTTATTTGCTTATTTTCTTTTTGAGGTTGGTGCAAAATAAAAATACGAAAATGAAAACGCACAAAAAAAACAAAGGAAAGGAAAAAAAGAAAGAAAGAAAGAAAGAAAAAAAGAAAAGAAAGAAAGAATGAGAGAAAGAAAGAAAGAAAGAAAGAAAGAAAGAAAGAAAGAAAGAAAGAAAGAAAGAAAGGAATGAAAGGACAAAAGAAAGAAGGAAGGGAGGGAGGGAGGGAGGGAGGAAGAATCCCATCAATCAAAAAACATTTTCATATTGGATAAATTTAACACAAGATATTCATCAACATGAGCCATGTATGCCGGCCATGTTGTTGTTTCATACTCTTGAGATTAATTGCAACCAATATTCCTTTTGCTTTGCTTTTACAGGTATGCCATCAACAGTTAACGTCTGTATTGGTCATCAAGCTGAACTGGTCTGTCCCTTTCTCAGATCAGCAAACATCTCACATGTTAGATCAGTAAAATGGCACGCACGGACCATAGGGAGCTCAAAACACCTCCAACAACTGTTCCATATCAAACTGAGAGAAACTTCAAATGGGACGGTCTTCGGGAAGAATTTGGCGCGTAATACTTCAAGGCTCCATGGCGCGGCTGGTAAAAGCATAGAACTGGGGCTCAATGGCTCACTTTTGATCAAACGTATTCGCAGTGTCGACGAGGGTGATTATGAATGTATCGTGAAGACCCGACATCATCATCAGCCGTACAGGCATCTCATTCGACTCCAGCCCATCTCTTGCAATGACTCGAGAAAAGTCAGTGGAAAAAACGCTACCTTATTCCCAACACCCTCTATATCCCGACCAGCTACTATTAAAACGACCGCTGGCCGTGTCGCTTTGACAACCGCTCCAGCTAAAGGAATTAATGGCTCCACGATAACAGACCGTGTGTCAAACCAGAACTCTACACAAGAGAAAGAAAATCCCTTAAAAACTTCAGATCTATCAGGAACGTCCCCAACAAGCGTGGGTGAGAGCAACCAAACAAGAAATGGATCTCAAATCACGGGTACTTTAGCACGATTTCTTTCTGGTTCGAAAAAACAAGCAACAATCAAGAGCAGTACATCAACCAGTACATGGACGATGATGAAGCCTTCTTTACAGACGGTCAAGACATCTACAAGAGTTACCACTTTCACTACCTTCTACTCCGGTACGACAGAAGGAGACGCTCTTTCGAAGGAATGGTCATTAGAAGGCGCAGAAGACAATGGAAATGGCTTTAGTAAGTTGATCATGCTTATATATGACATAACATATTAACGTATAGTTAATTAGTTAAACGGAAGAACCATGAATCCTTTTTGCATTTTCGTATGACACTGAGGAAAGTTGCACTTTGCCTCTTTTTTACAAATCGTTGTCATGTCAACGTGACGTCATGACCTATACGGAGCCGTGAATAGTTAGTTAATATGTGGATTCTAGTTTACTATCGAAAGATTTTGTTGAAGTTACAGGTTTGTTGTTGTTTTCCTTAATTCCCTTCTGTATCTTTCTATCTTTAAATCTACGAAACCTTACTTAAAACTAAAAAAAATACTAACCTGTTATTATTATTTTGTGTATTTTTTACCAGTCTGTGGAGGTGTTCTGAATAATTCTGTCGGTACATTCCAATCACCGAATTTCCCAAGTGCATATCCTGCAAACTCTCATTGTAAATGGACCATCCGTCTTCCCCAGGACTACGCAGCCATCAATGTTACGTTTCATCACTTTGACCTGGAAGATGAACAAGACTGTAGGTAAGCAATAGTGTCTACACATATCGTGATGGCTTCCTTTAAAACATTACCGCAAGGGATAATTCAAGGCTACTTCGAGAGTATTGCCGTTGTATCAGCTGACTAAACCACAGGGACTCCAATTTAGATTAAAGTGAATGGTGAAGAAAAATGACCAAATCTCTGCATTTCCTGCTATAATAGATAGGTTATGATTACTCTCAAGAGGATGTGCCCACGATAACAGAAACTTGAAAAAACGGAGACTGAAATAAGACGGCTTTCATCCACTTGCCAGATAGGCCTTTTCTGTGCTCGATCAACGTGATGCATTGTGGTCTAGCTTGAGTACAAAAGATCACTTCATTTAATATGATTGGGGGAAATGTACCACAATGCACCAAAGTTCACTCTTTCAGAAACGTCTATCCCCTTGAGTGTTATTTCTTTGTTTATTAACCAACTAATAATGCTTAAGATAGAAATAAAAATATTGCACTTCGTAGTGATTTAGTTCTGTCCACGCGCGAGAATATATTGTTAATATTATTAGTAATATCAATATAATTAACGAATCCGTATTTTTTCTTGTGACAGACGGGATCATGTCGCCATCTTTGACGAATTAGGTAACCTGGTTGGTCCCCGCCATTGTGGAATGATGGACTGCCCGAGTGAATTCCAAGTGAAAGGAAGACTTGCCGTTGTTATATTCCGCTCAGATGCCTCTTTACAGAAAACTGGATTCAAACTAAGCTATAAAAGTGATAGGCAAGCTAAATGAATAAACTTGAAAGCAATACCGGGACGAAACCTTAGGCATAAATGGTCACGTGATTGAGGAAATTTCCCGCCAAAATTGTCATTGGTATTTTTCAACATCTTTTTTTTGCCCAAGCTGCCTTCTTCAGTGTAATAAATGCAAAAAAAATATCGGGTTGCCAGAAGAATAAGAAAATGTTGCGGTACACGACCACGTGACCTGCTCGTGAAGGTCATGTAGACAGCAAAGGTTTCGGTATTTTCTTGTCTAGTCCCACGAGGTTTGTACAAAAACTGGTGAGGTTGTCCCGCATGGCATTGTGGGGTTCAAGATGACGGAGGGTTTTCACTTCAGTTTAACAACTCTGTGCGAGACGAATTTCTCAGCAGTAATTTGTATACACTGAAAGAGGAATTGTTATTCACTGGGAATGGCTTTGAATATTTCTTAGAGAATTGATGTATTTCAATTAATAATAGTGTAAATTACTAAGTCATTGATTAGCTTTAGTTTTATGAAGCTTCAGGAATATTATCAGATTTGTAAAGATGGAACAATGCGATTGCATTTAGGAGCTAAATAAACGATTTCAAATCATTGGTTGCTGTTGTCTTTCAGTGTAATTGTTTATTTGGATCGGTTGGAGTATCAACACAGATCGATCAGTGGCGAATAATCCGCTGTCTGTCAAAACTGCCAGTAAATCAGTAGACAGGATACTATAAATGTATATTAATGAACAAAAGAAATCAGCTGACGAAAGAAAAAATGAGGAGGGAAAATAAAGAGAAAAAGGAAAAAATAAAATAAAAGTAAGAAACGGGAGGGAGGACAGGCTATGCAACTCGAGTAGTTCAAAAATAGTAAGTGAAAGTATAAGTTTAGATTATAGTTATAGTTATAGTTTCATTTTACCTTTTATGGAGTTCAATTCCGTAATCCTTGTTTACATTTTTTTAAATATATTTTATCCTTAGAAAAAAAATCAATTGAATAAGGTGTATTTGTTGGAAAATTTTACTTTGGCTATTTATTTTTATGAATGTAATCTGTGTGATTTGCTTTTGATATATATTCAAAAGACCGATACTCGACGTCGCTTTAGTCACAATGCAAAACCAAAACAATTTACTTTCGAGTCTTTTAACAATGCATAGATTAAAAATAATCCCGCCTAGAATATGTAGAATTAATGCTGAAGCTATCCACAAACATGGACGACGTGGGCGACTTCAAAGACGTGTTGCAAAGATCTCGATACGAAATCGTCCAGCGTTTGCAACTAGACAGGACTTCTCTGTTTGATTATCTTAGAAGCAAAGGAGTTTTCGACGCTAGTGACTGCGAGCTTGTTTTTGTAGAGAAAACTCGAGAACAAAAGGCTAGCAAGTTTCTTGATATCCTCGAGTCTAAAGGAAAGGATGCATTCGTTTATTTCATTGATGTCTTGCAGCTTTTAAATCCTGGATTGTATGAGAGCATAACTGGAGAAAAAGCAAGTACGTATTGTACATTTTTGTTGCAAACGTTTAACTTATTATTAATATTCATATTCAATTAAAGCTTTTGTCATGTTTGATCTCACCACTCTATTCTATTAAAATAATCTTAAACAAGACATTCCAAGTACGAACAAAGCTAAAAGATAACAAGCCATGGAATATCTGAAACCGGAACTTCTACTCATGCGGTGTTAGCTCAGTAAATCTAGCACATTGAAAATTGTTCGGTTTGAATTCTACGTTCATTACCTTCGATTTATACCAATTCTATTAAATTAAATAATATCATTAACTGTATCATCACTCTATAATCCCATATAAGGAACTATTATTTTCAAATTCTCTTTCCTATTCTCGTTTCCATTCGCATTCTTTCGAGAGAAAACTATGACTTATGGAATCAGTCTAGTATAGTTTGGGATGATATAATTAATCTGCAATAGGACTACATGTCTGTCCAATTTGGAAATAGTTGAATTCAAAAAATCCCTCGACTGCCAAATTGGACTCGGTCTATCAGCCCCTCCCAATTTTGTCAGTCCTCGGAATTTATTTTTTTCATCCAATTATTTCCAAATTGGACAGACATGTAGTCCTATTAACTATACTAATTTCATTGTTCTTTTGTTCTCATTCCACTATTACACACTAACTAATGGTATTTGTTTCACGGGTTTATGAAAATCACTCTAATAATAATAATAATAATATTATTATTATTATTGTTGTTGTTGTTGTTGTTGTTATTATTATTATTATTATTATTATTATTATATCATATGTCAGAAATTTATAAGTCTATTTGAAGTTGAGTTAGGTGAACCATTTTTTAGGAAGTATTTTATTGACGATTGAATGAAAAATAAAGTTGCGATACTAATCACTTTGGTGCACGATGATTTTCAGGTCACGGAAAGTTTTCTCGTGTTATTCTAGTAAAGCTCGTATTATCCTTTAAAAAAGCTTTCTTTATTCTTTCATTTTCAGATCCCTGTCGTATCTGGGAAAACATGCGAGATAGATTCGCTCTCGGTAAGTTTAATTTTTTATAGCATCCTCCTAGAAGTGGACTTCTTGTGTCTATACTAGTTTGTAAAGTGGCCGGAAATGAGAGCGAAAATAGACTTCACCCTGTTCTTAGTCTTCCTCTCCCGTTGTCCGTCTATCACGAGAAGTTCACATGATCCTTTCCAGCTAGAAAAATTAAATTTATTCACCATCTTTATTGGCTGTTTCTGCGGTGCTTGCATCATACAAAATGTCTATTACTAGTTACCAGTCCTCTCCAAGATTCCTTTATCATTAAGATAGGGTGTCCCTGGTGCTAGGGTCGAGTCTATTATTTTCCTTCCCCAGGGAACAAGAGGTAGACCTAACTGTAGAGTCACCCTACCTTATGAGTGAACATTCACATGAAGGTAGGATGACCCTGGTGCTAGGGACAAGTCTATAGTATTGTTTTCCTTCCCCGGGGGACACCAAGAACAAGAGGCAGCCCTACTAGCAGTAGGTTCATTCTCAGGCTATTTAAATAATAAATCTGGCAATAATGATTTCCAGGGAATTGTGGCTACGTTCCTGATGTGGAACTTCTAAGTGGGCAGCTAAAGAGGACAATAGACGACCTACAGGACCTGGCGCTCCGTAATCAACAGCTAATAAAAGAAAACCAAAACCTTGGCATGAAGCTGGACCAAGCTTCCACCGACCTCGACCTCAAACACCGACGAGTCGAGATCCTCGAGAAGGTGATGAATGAATCAGAGAGAGGAGTAGTAGAGGCACACAATAACGCTAACAAACTCAACGAAGCTGTAGCACAACAGTTACGTACTCTACAACAGGGAATCTTTGAAAGAAACACTTATATAATAGCACTACAGATGAAATTATTGGCGACTGAAGAGGAAATCAAGGAAACGAAGAGAATATACGAAGAACTAAAGTCCCAACACGACATGCTCTCTTCTAAATGGCAGGAACTTTCCAGGGATTACGACTATGAAAGGCGCGAATCGATGAAACTTAGTGCCAAATTGAAGTCACAGAGAGGAAACCTTCAAAAAGAACGCGAGTTTGAAAAAAGATGTCGCGAATTTAAACAGATCAACGAGCAAATGATGGCTGAGCGTGATGAGTCGTTATCGGAGCTGGAGAACCTCAAGGATTGGACAGAAGCATTGAAAGCACGTTATGACATTATTGTGGAGGAATACAAACAGGTAAAACTAGTCAATACTTACAAGTCCTATCATTGGTGCTTTCTTGGTCACCTGATCGTCAGCAAAGCTTTTCAGGCGCGCGGTAATGTTTTTTTTAAATGACAGAATTTTCCCGCCAAAATTTTCCCGCCAAAATTTAATTTTTAATTTTAATTTGTTGCATTGTCCACGAGAAAGCATACATGGTGCATTCATTACGCTGTCTCGCAATAACAACAGTAACAGTCTCACGCAAACAAGTCTGCACACTGAATATTGGAGAAAGTTCAAATGCTCTTTGCGGTATTTACTGTAAAAGAATTGCATGCTTTAAAAGTGGGCACGAAGGAGGCTGCTCGTTTTTTGCTGCAGTGAGATCTGTGATGTGTATCGGTAGTTTAATACTTTTTCTCTTGTCTCAAGTTGCAGCAAAGTTTTGTGACAGGAGCGACAGAGAGCTGCAAACTGAAGGAAGAAATCGAAGAACTCAAGTTACAACTATCGTTGAGTAAAATTGGGGTTGAAGATTTGAAGGGCTGGAATGAAGAGCTCGAAGAAACGGTGAAAAAATATCGAGAACAGAGGGATTTCTTTTCAGAATCGAGGTAAAATAGATTTACAGAATTAAGTAGAATACACGGAACTATCATCTATTGAAATCTCGCTGAACGACTCAAAATGAATTCCTTGGCACTATATTTATAAAAAATTGAAACTGAAACTACGCGCGAAGGGAAAGGAAGTGAATGTTTTTATAGGTCTTGTTTGTGAGGCTAATATAGCACTCAAATACAAAGAACGTCCGAAGATCTAAGACAAGAAATCTCAGAAATGCATGTTAATGAAAAGGAAGATCTGCAATTGAGTGTTACTTCTCTCTTACGTGAATTCTTAATCCTGGCATGCGAATCCTTTATTATTCATTCTGTCATCTTATTCTTCAGGAAAGCAGCTTTATTAGAGCGTGATGATGCTCGTCAAGAACGTGACGAAGCAATTCAGCGGTACAACGAAGTGTTGAAAAACCGTGAGGAGGTTGTCACGCAACAGGTTCAACACTCTCAACACTTTGAAGAGAAATACGAGAAAGCTTGTGCAGAGTTGAAATCCCTTCGAGAACGAATCGCTAGTGCGGAACATGAACTGGAGGAACTGAAGATGCAAAGGAAAAAAACAACCAGCGATTATGATTCTGACATGACGACGCCAGAGAAAAATGTGAGTTTCTTACAACAAGTCCTTAATGACTAGAGGAGCGGAAGGATAGAGAAAAGAGAGAAAGGCAAAATATTAAAGAAAAATGAAGTAGATTTGTTTTGAGAGGTGCGTTAAAGTGGGGTGATGTGGTGTGATGTGGGTGTGGACTATCAGAGTGGAGTTGAAAGTTGTGCTTGGCGTCATGGAAGAGAGTGAAGTAGAGAAGAGTGTAGTGGATTAGATAGAGTGCAGCGGAGTGATGTTATTTGGTGTCGAGTGGTGTAGTGTTTTTTGGTAACAAGTGGAGTGGAGCGGAGTGGTGAGTGGAGTGGAGTGGAGTGGAGTGGTGAGTGAAG